ACTGTATTGTCACCAATCTCCTGTTTGACAACTAAAATTAAAAAATAATTATAAGTTCCTTTTGCTGGGAACCACTAGCTCTTTTCCAAGGTGGTATGATATATGCAAAACAGCAAAACCAACACTGCAGCGGAAGCCAAACTTAAATCCTTTCCAGCCTGTCTGCCTGCCCTGGCTCAGCCCTCCACCAAGCCATAATTAACTATATTCAACTGATATTAAATAACACCATAGCTGATTTCTCTCCTAAATAAAAAGGTAAAAATTAACAGGCCATCCTCTAAATATCAGATAGCATTAAACATTTTAATAACATAAAGAGATACTTATATATATGACATAAATGTCAGTTCCTAAAATTCTCTGGACCTGTCCCTATAAGAAGTCATTACTAAAATTATAAATACCCTGTTGATTATATTTAACTCCTGCATATTTACTTAATTTTACAGATACCTTCTACTGTAGTCCAGATCCCAATCAAAAAGGCAAAACTTGACCTTCAAACCTCATAGAGACCTTAATATGGCTTTTCATATTTTCAACAACAGAGATAACACTTGTGACACTTGGAGTTCTGAGACAGGTAAACTGACACAAGGTTGAGATGCCTGCCCCCCTCTAGGGAGTGGCGTGACAGCCCCAGTGCTGCCTCCTCACCTCTCCCTCCTATGGGCACATAAAGCGCCTGCCTACATTAACCATAATCCTCTCCTGCTTATGTCACATACCTGGATGTGACAATGACCCATCAGAAACCACCCCATAGCCTCTTCCTGTCCTAGCAGCCCGCCCTTGGCCCATAAAGGATGAGACCACTTCCTGATTAAATGAGACTTGATTGGACTTTTCAACTTGTCTCCATCTCTCTTTGTCTCCCAACCTGTTTTATTCATCCCCATCCCCCTCCAGGTATATACCCCACGGATTGATCCACGGGCCAGATCACCCCCCCCCCACGGACCATGCTTCAAATGCAGTAGAAAGCATCGGGCAAGAGAGTGCCCCATCCTGGCATTCCTTTGGGATCTTACCCCAGGGCTACTGGACTGTCTTAGCCACCAGAGAGTGGGTAAGCCATTCTAACTTCCAGCCCTCACAGGAAATGCCAACACTACCAGATTCATTGCCGACAGATATGCTTAAACTTGCTGCTCAAGACTTACGGGGCTCGGGGCCAACAACAGCCCCCCTTTATGGGTGTCCGTCTCAGAGTCCAAGTCCCACTAAAAGTCTCAGGTAAGACATTCTCTATATTTGTGGACATAAAAGCCATATATGCAGAGTTCTTCCTGAATTTTCAGGCCGCTATAGTAAGTCCTCAATCTCTAGAGGGTATTAAAGGTCAACCTATGCCATTTACAAACAGGGCCTATTTCGAGCAGGTTCCAGACTGTTTCTTCCCAGTCCACCCAGTGGTACCAAATCTTCCCTCCACCACTCACTCTACAGTCCTAAATCTTAAAAATGCTTTTTATTCCCTTGTGTTTATACAGGCTGACCCAGATACTGAGGCCTCAATAGCTCACACCTGTTATCGCTAGTAAACCTCTCCTCAGTGATATAAACTACCCGCTTCTTTTCTTATTCACCAGTTTCTCAGACAACCCTGGTCAAGACTGACAGATAAATTTTGTCTTCTCACTTTGTTTATATTTTTTCAGAATACATAAAAGCCTTTCATACAACCAGGGAGACTGCTGATATACTTGCTAAAGTTCTGTTACAGAAAATCATTCCAAGGACTACAACCAGATTAAAGTGACCCATACCTGATATTCTTGGCAACCTCAACAGTGATCAAAGTTGTTAGACTGCCATCCTGGTTTCACATCACTCAGGCTAAGTGGTGCCCTTTCAGCCTTAGATCTAACCATCCTGTTGCCTACTCATCTCTGCCTTACCAAGGCCCCAAAGCCACAACTCTCAGGCTGTCATGTTTTGTCATCTAATTTGGTTTCTAATTTCTTATTCTTTTTACAGCAGGACTCTTAACAGTATTTCCTAAAGACTCCAAAGTCATGCATACCAGAGACAAGCCTTACTTACCTTCCGTCTTAACCTTTACCCTTTCAGATGGGGGAGTAATCACCTCTCATAACTTCACTCCTCCTAACCCCACACTTATTTTTCAGAATTCTACCTTACTGTGGCAATAATTCTACCTCAACATGGTCCTGATATAATGACATATCAAAATCAAAAGCACCTTTCCTTTTACCTCACCTGGGTCCTTAAATATGACAGTGCCATGCCTCCTCATAACATCTGCCTTCGTGATTCTGCCTCACTCTAGCTGCTGATCAGGCCTGGAGCCCTCAGAACCAGAGGGCCAGAATGACCCTTGCCCCGGAAGTGATTTCTCTGGACTTTTTGTCACATCAAAGGTATGTTGACAAACCTCCCGGGCCCCAGGTTCTTCCAGCTGCACCCGCTTGCTTGAACCTCTGATCTGCAGAAGCCAACTCATGCTACAGTAAGCTTGGGAGTTCTTTGCTATGCAGCTGTATACAGCTGGAAGCTTTTTTCCTTTGAGACAGCGTCTCCTTATCCAGCACAGACTGGCCTCAAACTCACAGTGATCCCCCTGCCTCAGCTTCCCAAAGTACTGGGATTAAGGGTAGGCATTACACATCCAGCTAGAAACTTTTTCTTTAAACTCTTTTCTGGGTGCAGTAAGTAGGAAGCAAAGCTCCAATGTGAGAGAGGGCATGAAGGGAGGAGGTACAAGAGTCTGAGAGAGAGAGTACAGTAAACAGTTAAATACTTAAGGAGCCAGGTGTGGCGACACACACCTGTAATCCCAGCACTCTGGGAAACAGGCTGGAGAATCTGGAGTTAAAGCACAGCCTGGGGAATTTAGTGAGACCTGATTTCAAAATTTTAGAAAAAAACACCTTTTTTAAATGCGGCTGGGTATCTAACTTGGTGCAAAGGCCCGGAGTCCTATTTCTAGTACTGGGGAAAAAAAGTATAAGAAATAACTCAAGTGCATGTCAACAAATAAATGGAGGCCAGGACTGGTGGCACACACCAGAATTCCAGCCATGACCGGCTGACGCAGGAGGATGGCCGTGAATCTGAGGCCAACCTGGGCTCCGTGAGACCTTGTCTCAAAACAACACAAAAGGAATGGCTAGAATTTAGGGTGACCACACAGGGAACTCTGATTCAGCCATCGTGAGGTGCAGCCCCATCTCTAGCAGTGTGGAAAGAGCTCACACAACGCTGGAAGGACCACAGATGCCAAGGGCTTGTTAGGCCATGTGCCAGGCCCAGCATGGATTATCTAATTGTGATGCTGAATCTTGGTGACACATGAGTTTGAAACTGCTGATGAGCCCAAAACCAAAAATGTCTCGAACCCTGCAAGTGATCCTCCTGCCTCAGCCTTCCAGGTGCTGGGAGTATAGGCAGGCACCAACACACCCAGTACTAGTACATTTTAAATGGTCATTGTGAGTTGGCATAATGGTGGTGAACACTTGTAATCCAAGATACTAAGAGGCTGAGGCAGGAGGAGTGGAAGTTGGAGGGCAGCCTGGATAAGTTAGCAGGAACCTGTCTTACCTGTCTTGAAATTTAAAAAAAAAAATTTTTTTTTTTTTTTTTTGAGACAGGGTCTCTCTATGCAGTTCAGCTGAACTTGAGCTCACTTTGTAGCTCAGGCTGGTCTCAAACTCACAACGATCCTCCTGCTTCAGCCTCCCGAGTGCTGGGATTACAGGCGTGAGCCACCCATGTCCAGTTTGAAAAAAAATTTTTTTTGGTACCAGGAATGGAACTCATGACTTAGGCTTGTCAGGCAGGCACTTACTCTGTTGAACAAAATCCTAATCCCTAAAAACTGTTTATTTAAAAGGGTAGGTAGGCAGCACAGCGCTAGAACACTTGCTTAGTGTGAACAGGACCTTGGGCTCAATCTCCAGCACAGCACCACAGGGGAAAAATAACTAAAATGGTAACTTTTATGTTAGGTATAGTTTTCTTGTTTATTGATTGATTTAGTGAGATGGGTCTTTACGTATCCCAGGCTAGCCTCAAACTGGTGATGCCTGCCTCAGCCTCCTGGGCGCTGGCATCACAGGTGTGTGCCCCCATGCACGGCTTTGTGCTAAAATAAAACAGGAGGGGTGGGGATTTAGCTCAGTGGCATAAGCGCCCGCCTGGCAAAGTGCGAGGGGCGCCTTTGCTCTGCAATGAAATTGGAGAACAACATAAAGCGCCCCCAGGAGGCCGCTGCCTGAAATCAGCGAGGGACCCTTGGCAGGGCGGAGGATTCGCACCCTGATATGTGGCCAGTTAGCCCGGCCACCGCTGCCTGGGGTCGGACAGAAGGTGTCCCCTAGTAGACGCTGGAGGAGAGGGGACTGGGAGCGGCAAGGGCGACGCGGCAGGCGGGGGCGCTGTAGGGCCGAGCCCCATGTGGAGCAGCCGCTCGGCTAGGCTGGAGAAGTGAGTGAGGGCGACAGCGCCTCCCATCCGGTGTGGGGGTCTCGGCTCGGATCCCGGGATGGGTGGATGAGACGGGGCGGAGCAATGGGGCTCCGAAGCCTTCAGCGTCGCTGCTATTTTTATATCACATCACTCTAATGCTTCCCAAAGAGCATCTGGCTGGCACAGACTGCGCTACCCCCAGGATGTGGGGTCGTCGTGGCAACCTCTTCATCACTAGGTGCCGGGGCGGGGCCTGGCAGCCATCTCCATGGAAACAGCCAGACCCACCTCCTGGAGGGAGAGCTCGCTGTTTAGAAGCCCCTTACTGAGCTGGGGCTCCTCCCACCAGCTTCTCTGCCTCCTCCGGGAGGCCCCCAGGATTGTTCCCAACACCTCTGCGGGGCCTAATCTGGCTCCCAGGCTGAGTCCTGGCCCTGAGAGGGGAGGAAGAAGTCGTGGGAGCTGGGTGCAAGGAGGGGATGTTTGAAAGCTCAGGCCAGAGAGAGGTCACCAGGAAGATCCGGAACATTCGTTCAGTCAGCAAACATTTATCGAGGGCTTACCATGAGCCAGGAACCGTGCGGGCACTGGAGACTTAGAGGTAGATGAAACAAAAGCCCAGTCTTCCAGAGCTGATGTCCTAGTAGTTGTGAGGAGACAGGTCCTGAATAAAACAGCAAAACGTACAGAGCAGCATTGCTTCCAGAAATATAATGCGAGCCACATGATTTGAATTCTTGTTTTTTTAGTTTTTTTGCTCCTCTCTCCTTTTTTTTTTTTTTTTTTTTTTGTCTTTTTCCTTTTTATCGGTACTAAGGATCGAGCTCACGACTGCCTGCTTGCAAGGCAGGCTTTCATGCCGCTGAGCTAAATCCCCATCCCCCCCCCCCTTTTGAGACAGTGTCTTGCCTTGTGGGCTGGCCTTGAACTTGCTTATGGAGCCTAAACTAGCCTTGAACCCACAGAGATCCTCCTGCCTCAGCCTCCCAAGTGCTGAGATCACAGGCATGCACCACCATGCCTGGCCAGCATCTCACTTCTGTAAAATGCCCTACTGCCACATGTGCCATTTCAGTTGGCAGAAGGGTGACTGCAGTAGTCCAGGTGGTAGATGACAGCAGCTGGACTAGCAGTGGGGGTGGCCTTTGTGGACATTTTGAAGGCCAGGACGACCGGATTTCCTGCTGTCCAGGAGGTGGGGCATGGAAGGCAGAGGTGTCCAGGTCCCTGCGGAGATCCCGGCCTGTACTCCCAGAGGTGGGTGGCTGCTTTGTAGCTGCAGGAAGCAGACAGTTGGCCGCCTCTGTACAGCCCCACACCAAGGTGCCCTACCTGACAGTTCCAACGCTCGCTGTCAGCCTAGAATCCTGCACTCCAGGTGGCTGAACCCAGCCCTGGGCAATTTAGCAACTTTTCTATTTCAAAATTGAAAAAGCTGTCAACCAGGTGTGGGTTACATCACTTGTAGAGGGTGGCCAGGGTTAACCCTGATAAGACTCAGGTAGGCGCTGGGCCAGGAGCCAACCGCAATTCTGCCTCATGCTCTCCCTGTGGGCTGCGCCTCCCTTTTCTTCCCCAGTCTCATGTCTGCCTGTGTTCACTTTCTCCCAGGGCCATCTTTCTTCAGACATTGGCTACCTGTTAGCTGCAACCATGTAGGAAAACAAGGCTTTAGCAAGGGCAGGATCACTCTGATAGTTAATGCCGTAGCCAATCACAGCTCTCTGGTGCATGATTGACATAGAGATTCAACCTCTCACACCCTCCATGTGATTGGCACCCTGCCCTGGCTGCCCTCCATTTCTTGCCCATTGTCCTATTCACTGGTTATTTACATTGATTTGTAGGCGCTCTTTACATATTGTGGATGTGAAGCCCTCCGTTGGTGACATGTGTGGCAGATTTCTTCTCAATCTGGAGCGTGTCTTTTTGCTTACTTTAGGGTGTCATTTGATGCTGGAGCATATTACTTCCCATGTAGCTGAACTGATTAGTCTTATATGGTTAGTAGCTCAGGGTGGCCTTGAATTATGTAGCCCAGGTTGACCTCCAACTTGGGCAATCCTCCCCACCTCAGCCTCCCAAGTGCTGAAATGACAGGCATGTGCCACCACACCTGGCTGGTTAGTCCTCCTTGTATCCTAAGAAAGCTTTCTCTACAGTCACAACAAGGAAGTTCTTTACATTTTTTCCCCTGTACTGGGATCTTCACCTTGAGCTGCAGGCCCAGGTCTTTTCATTTTCTCTTTTTTTCTTTTCAGATTGGAGCTAGGGGTCTTTCTGCTTTTTATGTGCGTTTTCCTTCTTCCCCAGTGACATGAAAGTGGTTTCTGTCATTTATTTATGAGGAGGGCTGAGGTGCAGTTTAAAGTACTCACCCAGTTTGCACGAGGCCCTGGTTTCAGTCCCAGCCTGGAAGCCCTATCTCTCCCTGGCTCGGGGGCTGGCTCCATCCCCGGCTTTTCTAGAACTCTCCTGGTTACCTGCTGCCCACTGTTACGCAGGGACCATGGTCCCGGTTGCAAAGGCTAAATCTTGATTTCTGACAAACTCTCACTTTTGTCCTTGGAATCATCTTGCCTTTCTGTGGAGCTTTGCTTTCCCACACATCTTTGTCCCTGAGGCACGGGGACAAAGGACCCACAGCTCCAGCTTCAACAGCTGAAATGACTGTGTCCAGAGTCCCGGGGGCTCGACATCCAGAGCATAGGTGTCATCAGAGCTGGCTCATCGCAAACCCCACCCCCACTCCCCAGAAAAACCTCACATGTGCTAAGCAGTGAGTCTCGGACCCTTCACAGCGACCCACACCAGGGTGCCCTGCCCGACACACCTGCCATTCTGCGCTCCAGGAGGCTGAGGCAGGAGGGTCACATAAGATCAAGCTCAGCTTGGGCAATTGAGCAACTTCACCCTCCAACCCTTTTTACATTTTTTTAATTCCAAAACAGGGTGTCCCAAGTCTCCAAGTTTCCCAGGCTGGGTTTGAATTTGTGATCCACCTGGCTCAGGCTCCTGAGTGCTGGGATCACAGGTGTGGACCTCAAGCCCAGCTTTGGTTCTTTTTTATGGCGGATGTTACCTGGCTCTGGATGGATTGTGTCCTGCTCACCGCGTCATCACTAAGTGGCCAGCTGGCTAAGCTCCAGTGTTTGGCTATTGTGAATAATGCAGCTAAGGGCGTGTGTGTGTGTGCACAAGTCTTTATTTGTCTTGGTTAAACAAGCCAGTGTGGGGCTGCTGAGTCACAGGGGTGTATTTACCTGTTCGAGAAGCTGCCCAGCTGCTGGCCAAGTGGCCGCTCCATTTGCCTTCCAGCAGCAACACAGGAGATGCAGTAATTAACCCTGGTGTTGGCTTGCAAGGGGGGGCCAGGGCAGTGCTGTCCTCTCTTCCCTCTGCCTTTTCCTTCCTTCCAAGGCCGGGTCTCACTGTGTTGCTCATGCTGGCCTCAGACTCACTAGTGAGCTCAAGTAACCCTCCCACCTCAGCTTCCCAAGTAGTGGAGACTATGCCCATGGTTTCAAACTTTTTTTTTTGAAACAAGGTCTCACTATGTAGTGTTGGCCTCCAAATTACTGGGGATCCTCCTGTTTGTTTGTTTTTTTTTTTTATAAGATAGGGTCTCTGTAGGCAGGCAGGAGCAGGTCTACAACATGCTAGGGTCCCCCCATCTTGCACAGTACAGAGAAGGCTGTTTGTTGACTGACTTGCTGATGGACTGAGGGCATGGCTAAGTTCCCAGCCCAGTCAAGGGCTCAGAGACAGGATGGCCAGGCAGGAATGCAGGTTTATTGGGGACTCCACACACACACTCTCACGGCATCACACAACATTGACATGGTTACTCAGGACACATAGGGTGGCCTCTTGTGCCCACACTGGGACCCAGAGGCGGCAGGGTGTGGCCACCTCCCTGGTGGCCCAGGCCCCCAGGGTCCTTCCTCCAGGGAGGCTGCCAGCTGGGCCTGTTTGGGAGTGGGCAGCATCTGGGCACAGGGTGGCCACCTCACTCCAACGATTGTAGCATCAGCAGCTGCTTCAGCACCTTCGTCTGGCTTGTCTCTCGGATCTCGCCCGCCAGGAACATCTCATCTACCACTGTGTAAACCTGCGTTGTGGGCAGGGGCGGCCATGAGTGGGGAGCAGGCACCGGGGACAGCCCAAGCCCACTGGGCCTCACCACCAGGCTGGACCCTACCTTGTAGAAGTTGAACACCAGGTCCAGCTCACAGACGTTGTGGAAATACTCGTTTAAGACCTGGGCAGAGGAGACAGGAAGTGGTGAGACACTGGCCGGGAGGGAGGGAGCCAGGGACACAGGGAAGTGGGGGACCGGGAAAGAGACCTCACAGGAGAAGGATGGAGAGGCAGAGAGAGCAATGGGGGTCACAATATCCATGGAGAGAACACCGAGCAAGCAGTGGCCATGCTTATTCACATCTGTGATCTCAGCTACTCAGGAAGCTGAGGCAGGAAGATCCTGAGTTTGAGATCACCCTGTGCTACATGGAGGGACCCTGTCTCCAAAAACAAGATTTAAAAAAAAAATCGAAAACAAAAGTAACAGAAACTGAGAACAGAAGCAGAGGAGACAGACAGACAGACAGACATGACATGGTAAGACAAAGATGGTAAGGGAGAAAAACAAGAACAGGGGTTGCTAGGAGAGAACAGAGAAAGCCGGCAGAAGCCTGGACCATAGAGACTGAGGCCAGCCTGGGCTATGTACCAAGGTCCCGTCTCTAAAGCACAAGAGGAAGAGGGGTGTGGTGGCACACGTCTGTACTCCCAGCACTCAGGAAGCTGAGACAGGAGGATCACCAAGCGTTCCAGGCTTGCCTGGGCTATGTTGTGAGTTCAAGTCAAATTAGTAAGACCCTGTCTCAGAAAAAAAAAAAAGACAGAGAGAGACAGAGACAGAGACACAGAGCGAGAGAAGAAAGAAAAACGGAGAGAGAGAGCAGAGCTAGACTAAGGTGGAGGTAGCGGAATGGGCAGACACGGACGGGCACAGGCACAGCAGTGTGGCTGAGGACATCGGTGGGGGTGGATTAAGGGGACAGGACAGGGACAGGGCCCGGCACCTCCACGAAGTTATGGATGGCCTCCAGGTAGGCCAAGTTGTTGTCGCTGACGTCCACGCAGATGCAGAAGTACAGGCCGGCGTAGCGTCGGTAAATGATCTTGAAATTCCGGAACTGCGGGCAGAGGGCATGGGTGAGTGGGGCCAGGGACTTTCACACTGGGCAGGGAGGGGCTGGCACTTCAGGCCACTTGCTGCGGGCAGGGTCATGAGGAGGAAGGGATCCACACATCCCTCACCCATGTGAGGGCCCTGCAGGAGACCTCATCCCCTTGGGGCCGGGGACCCCGAGGAGGGCAGGTGCCTGCTCAGAGCCTAGGGTATGATCAGGCGCGTTCTGGGCCTAGGGCATGCCACACATCTGTAACTCCAGCTACCCAAGAGGCTGAGGCAGGAAGATCTCAAGTTCAAGCTCAGCCTGGGCAGCTTAGCGAGACCCTATCTCAAAATAAAAAAAGGGCTGGGGTATAGCTGAGTGATCCAGCCTCACCTAGCAGGCATCAGGCGCCCGTAGCATCCACAGTACGGGCCATGCCCTCATGGAATTCAACACAGGTGAGCCCTCTTTGTCTCAAAGAAGTGTTTCAGGCCTCAGAGTTTTAGAAACTGCATAGGCTCTACTGGTTTAGCAACCCTAATCTGAAAATCTCAAACCTGAAATGCTCAAAACTTTTTGAGCTTCTTTTCATACCAAGGAAGTTTCAGCTTCCTCCCCAACCTTGGGGTACTGGGGACCCACACTGAGCTACAAGCCCTTTTTAGTTTAGTTTTTTTTTTTGGGGGGGGGGGTGCTGGGGATTGAACTCATGACCTCGCGTTTGCCAAGCAGGCACTTACACCGCTGAGCTAAATCACTAAGGCCCCCTTTTTAGTTTTTAATTTGAGACAAAGACTCACTAAACAGCCCAGGCTGGGCTCAAACTTACAATCTTTCTGCCTCAGCCTCCCAAAGTACTGAGACCTTAGGCATGCACTATTATGCTGGCAAAAAGAAAAGAAAAGCTACAGATTTTGAGTTGGGTGCAGTGGCACACACCGAATTCCCAGCTATTCAGGAGGCTGAGGCAGGAGGATCACCTGAGCCAAGGCATGCAATGTCAGTCTGGGCCTCGTAAGGAAACTGTGTCTCAAAACAATAGAAACTTTTAGATTTTTGTATTTCAGGTTTTCAGATGAGGGATATACAATTGGTATCTATAAATATTAGAATAACATACTCAAGCCCATGGGGCAGGGATGCAGACTGATTCTGTGTCTGCGGAGGTAGAGACTGATGGGCTGCGGTGGAGCCTGGCACAGCACGTGCAATGCCTGGGTTCCATGTCCAGCACAAAAAAAAGGAAAGAAAGAAAAGACAGCTACAGATACCGCAGGCACAGGAAGGTAAAAGCACACATTCGGGCGAAGCCTCGTCTAGGACGTGTGTATGGCATCACCTAGTGGTGACTGTGGGTGTTAACATTAATTAGTCCTACTCGTACTCTTGTTTTCTTGCTTTAGAGACAGGCTCTCGCTGTGCAGTTCAGGCTGGCCTTGAGCTCACTTTGTAGCCCAGGCTGGTCTTGAACTTGCAATGATCCTCCTGCCTCAGCTTCCCAAGGGTTGGGACTACAGGCATGAGCCGCAACGCCCGGCTCTACAGTGTACTCTTTTTGGACTGGTAGTTTTCTTAATTTCTGCAGGCTGATTCTGTCTTCTAGTTATCACAGCAATGCCTGCCACAACCCATGGGCAAGTGACCTGACACTGATGGTCACTTCCTCTTCTTCTGTCCTAAACTCCCTGGGAAATGAGTGTGGCTGTGCACGCCTGTAATCCCAGCACTGAGGAGGCTGATGCAGAGTGATCCTCCTAGATTAAAGCCAGCCTGAGCTACATAATGAGTTCCAGATCAGCCTGGACTATGAGAGACCCTGCCTACAAAGACTTAGCTTCCCTTCCACTTGATACTCCCCACCTGAAACTTCCTGCAGGAAGCCTCCGGACTCCTGGGTCTCTCCAGCCTCTTTCCTTTCTCTAGCCCTGTACATCCCGGTGGTTAGTATCTGGGGACAGGTCTATGTCTGCTTTATGGGTTTTTTTTTTCCAAATCCATTTTATTTCAAAGAGAAAAGAAATAAAAAGGAAATAAAACAAAAATTTAAAACACATCAATCAGGGGGAATAATGGTGCATACATTGTATACTGTCATCCCCATATCATTCACCCAGAGCGTAATACAGCTGAATTTGGTTGTCCAAACAGTATCAGCACAAATCTTTCTCTTCAGCAAATTCGTTAAGATAGTTATAACTATCTTTTATAATGTATATATCCATTTACCTATAAAAGGCTCCAGCTATCCTTCTTTACAGCTGAGTAGTACTCCACTGTATAAAAGTACATCTTTTATATCTGTTCCTCAGTGGATGGACATTTAGGTTGTTTCCAAGATATGGCTATTATAAATTGTGCTGCTACAAACATGGGTGCACAGATATCAATGTATCTCTGTGGTATGATGTGTTTAATTCTCTTGGGAAGCTACTTGGTTGGTTTTGTTTGGGTCCCCCCCTCCTTATTTTTGTATGGGAGATGAAACCCAGGGGCTCTGCACTGAGTTACATCTCCAGCCCCTTTAAAATTTTGCTTTCTTTGAGACAGAGTCTCACTCAGGAGCTAAGTTGTCCCTGCTGGACTCAAACTCATAATCCTCCTGCCTCAGCCCGTGTGACAGGCTCAGGCCTGTGGTCCCTGGGTATGAGTTGCCTGAGAGCAGCACGAGGCCATGCTGGTCACCATGGAATATCAGAGAAGAACACGAGAGCCTGGATCCCAACACCCTGGGGCTTCTTGGCGAAGGCCACCATAAGCACCGCGGCAGTCCCAGTGCCCCGGGTCCCCTGGCTGCTAGGTGCCCACACCTCAGGGCCCCGCTCTCCCCCACCCCTGCATCTGCACGGATCCTCACTCAGCCTTGTCTCTGTCACCTCATTATAACCAGTGTCTCTCAGCTCAGCTGTCCCCAGTGTGCAGAAATCCCCATATCTGCACTGCCTGGGCCACCTGTCCCCGATCATTCCCATGCTCCAAGCTGCACTCAGTCTTCCAGGAAACCCACAGGCCAGCCCCAGGTGATTCTGCCACACCCTACCCAAGCTGCACTCAGTCTTCCAGGAAACCCACAGGCCAGCCCCAGGTGATTCTGCCACACCCTACCTTCTTCCCTCACGTGCCCCCAACCTCCTGGAAGTCCTGCCCCAGTGCCTTTGCACTTCTTCTTCCCCCAATTTGGGAGTTCCCTCATTCTGATAGCAACTCCTTCAGGCCTTGGCTAAAAGTCGCTTTTCAATGCTTTCCTGAAGGAGCCAGGTAAATCTGCACACTCAGAATCCTTTCCCACCACCTCAACCACTTATCCTTCTTCAAGCTCTTTAATGCCACCAGATGGGCTATCTTTTACCCATCTCCTATCAGTTAGAAAGTCAGCCCTGCAGGGCAGAGATCTGTGTCTGTTATGTTCATTGTGGTACCTTTAGTACCAAGAACAGCACTGCACACAGGAAGCCTGTGGTGAATTTTTGAATGCTCTGCAGGGCATGGTAGTGCACACCTACAACACCAGTGTATGGGAGGCTGAGGCAGGAGGGTGGTAAGTTCACCCCAGCCTGACCAGTCTAGCATAATTTATATTAAAATAAAAAACAGAAAGAGCTGGAACTGTAGCTAGTGGCAGAGCACTTTGCCTAGCGTATGTAAGGCGCTGGGTTCCTCCTCAGCATTGCAAAGATGACAGCGACAAAACCAGTAACATAACTCCCTGAGAGAATCAAAAATAAGGGAGAAAGGAGGGCTGCATAGTGACACCGGTACAATCTAAGCAGGAGTGTACGGCCCTCCAGTCTCCTTTCCTTCCTTTCTCTCTGCCCTGGCTCATAGATTTGTAACTTTTCACAATGAAAAGTGCCCCTAAATGCCAGGCATGATAGTGTACACCTTAGCACTCAGGAGGCTGAGGCAGGATTGCCTCCAGTTCCAGGACAGCCTGGGCTACACAGCGATCAGTCTGCACTACACAGCGAGACCCTGTCTCAAAAACAAACAAACCAATGGTACCCAAAAAAGGAATGGGGAGGAGAAGGCTGAAGGCTGGTGAGATAGAATGAGGAGGAGGTGGCCAGAGGCACGGGACACACAGGAGTGGGAGGTGGGGGAGCTGTCACCTCCACAAAGTTAGTGTGTTTGGCATCTCGGACAGTGACCACGGCGTGCACTTCCTCAATCAGCTTCTGCTTCTCATCGTCATCGAATTGCATGTACCACTTGGCCAGCCGTGTCTTGCCTGCGCGGTTCTGGATGAGAATGAAGCGGATCTGGGGGAGGAGGGGGAAGAGGAAGAGGAAGTGAGCGGTGCAGAGCCAGGGAGCCCTGCCCATCCCCACTGGGGCTGGGTCCAGCGTCCCAGGGCCCTCCTGTTCCGAGGAATGACTTCCTTTCTCTGAGTGAGTGGCTCTGGGGCTCCACCAAGCCTGTTCCCTTGTGCATGGACACGGGGACTATGGGGACGCAAGTTTCCCAAGGACAACCATCTTGCCAAAGTGTCGTGAAGGTTAAATACATTAATCAACCTGCGCCAGTGGCCAGTGTGTAGTAGATGTTCACTCCATGCATCTCAGCTGGGGGTGGTGGTGCATACCTGCAATCCTAGCATTTGGGAAGCTGAGGCAGGAGGATCCCTGCAAATCTGAGGCCAGCTCGGGCTACATAGTGAGTTCAAGGTCAACTCAAACTACATAGTGAGGCACTGCCTTAAATAACCAAAATAAAGGGCCTGGGGATTTAGCTCAGCAGCACAAGTGCCTGCCTTGCAAGTGTACAGTCATGAGTTCAATCCCTGGTACCAAAAAAATAATAATAATAACCAAAATAAATAAATGTTTGTAACTCAGACTTCTTCAGTCTGAGTCCTAACTCTGCCACTTTTTTCCTCTTCTTTTTCATTTCATTTCTTTTTTTTGGCTAATTGTTTAAGAAACTGAAATACAATTCACATACCACAAAATCCTCAAGCTAAAAATACAGATAGTTCAGTGGTTTTCAGGATATCCCCTTAGTATGTTCACAGTTGTACAAATATCACTACTAATTCCAACACATTTTGTTTGTTTTTGTTTTTCAAACAGAGTCTCACTATGTAACCCAGGCTGGCCTCAAATTCTTGGCAATCTTCCTGCCTCAGCCTCCTGAGTGCTGGGATTACAGGTGTGGGCCACCACAGCAGGCCAGAACATTCTTATTATCCCTAAAAGAAACCTCCTGTCCTCCCGCTCCTCTCCTGCCCCTGTGAACTTGCCCTTTCTGGAAAATGCGTGTAAGTGGGATCACACAGATGTGGCTCTGGGAACCCGGCTCCCAACCGGTTTCAGGGTGCAGCCCAGGCAGCGCACTGCAAGCCTTCATTCCTTTCTATGGTGAATAATGTCCACGCAATGGCCTCTGGCTCTGCCTGTCCACTCACAAGTTGGGCATTTGGGTCATTTTCACTTCCTGGCTATCAAGATAGATGCTGCGAGGAGCAGTGATGTCCAGGTTTTTGCGAGGACTCTTGGAGCGGAATTGCAGGGTCATATGGAAGCTCTAGGTCGTACCATTTTGGGAACTGTTTCCCATTTGCATTTGTTGTTCTTGTTCTGTTTTGCTGTGCAGGGGAAAGAATCTGAGGCTTCCCAAGGCCAGGCCAGTGCTCTGCCCCGGGCCTGTTCTGTCTTCCTGCCTCAGGTTCCTGTGAGCAGAAACAGCCCAGCCTGCCTGGGAGCTCAGGTTAGCTATGACGATCATCAGTTTTGGCTGCGAAGTTTTTTGCTATGATCCTGAAAAGTCAGGTTAAACATCACAGCTACAGTGCAAACTGAATGAGTCAAAGTCAGAAGCACTTAGAAGCTGGGCATCGTGGTACATTCCTGTAACTCTAGCTACCCAGGAGGCTGAGGCAGAAAGAGTGCAAGTACAAGGCCAAATTAGGCAAAGCAGAGACACTGTCCCAGAATAAAACTTTCAAAAGGGCCGGGGTGCAGCTCAGTGGCAGAGTGCTTGTGTGGTATGCATGAGGACAAAGTCCTGGTTCCACCACGAGTACCACGGAATAAAACAAGACATAGACAGAAGGGCTTAGTACACACAGTACTTGTTACACAGGGAGCCCTCAATAAAATTAGCCATCGTTGTCTGAGAGGCAAAGCAGAGACTCTAAAGCCAGAACAAATCTTGGCCACTATTGCAGTGTGTTTGGGACAGATCGCTTAACCTCTCTGGATTTCAGCTTCCCTTTCCATGCAGTGGACACGCTGAGTACCTCCTTCATAGACTAAGGCACACGGCAATGAACACAAGGGTGCAGGACAGGGACTAGCATCTTCTAAATATCATGTCACACTAGCTCCTAGCAGCTATTATAGTTTGCTGTTACTTGACTTTGAAAACACAAGGCCCCAACATAGGACCCAGCTAGGAAGCCTGGCATGCTGATGTCCATTTTACAGATAAGCAAACTGAGGCACAGGGAAAGGAAGACCTGGGAGTTTAAAGGCTTTGCTCAAACCCCCTTACCCTAATCTGCGGGAGCCCTGTCCTTTTAACAGCACCCTACTTCTTTTCCTAAGCCTTATTCTTCACACACTCCACTGGGCCCCAACCCAGCAAGCAGACAGGAACAGGATTTTAAAAGCTTCTTCTGCCTTCTGCTGAGGCAGAGAAAGCCACTTCCTATGCCAGCAGGGGTGAGGGAGAAGGGAGAGGGGTGGGGTAGGCGGAGCAAGCACCCAGGGAACCTCTGGGAACCTGACAGCGCTTCCTCTTATGCCCAGACCCCTCAAAACTCTTCCCTGGTCGAATCTCTCCAGATCTCCTTCCCTCCGGCATCCTCACCCCACTGTTGTCCCCTCCGGATGCCCCCTAACTTTTCTTGCCTCTGACCCTTCTCCCTTGGAGTTGTTCTCTTCTGACCTCCACTTTCTCAGTTTCAGCCTCAGGAGCCTTCCACTGGACACTCCCTCCTCCAACTCCAAGGCTGCCTTCTTCCTTCCAAAGATCACATCTTGCCAGGTATGGTGGCTCATACCTGGAATCCCAGTGCTTGGGAGGCTGAGGGAGGAGGACTCCCGAGAGTCTGAAGTGAGCCTGTACTCAACAATAAGGCCTTGTCTCAAAAGAAAAAAATCTACCACCACCAGAAAAAAACAAAAATCGTACCTTGCCTCCAAGGACCCTGTTCCCTGAGGAGACTCATTCCCAGTCTGACACTGCCCCACTCATCTCCTGTCCTGACTCCCCGACCAAAGAACTCTTCCTCAATTCCAAAGTCCCAGTACAGGGTGGACCCCTAAATCCGAGCCTCAGTGGCTGCTCCAAGAGCCCCCTCTCCGTTCACACCTCCAAGTCTCCCCTCTCCCCAAGATCTCTCCTCTGGGAAAGATCAGTTCAGCTGCTCCCCATTCATTTCTGGCGCCCATTTCCCGATCTCCGAGCCTCTTTCCTCTGGAACCACGCTGTCCCCGACTGTAGACCCTGATTCCCGGCAGTGCCTACTTCCGGTCCCCAGCCCTAGTCCCTTGCCTTGAGATACTCCCTGCTCCTGCTCCAGCTCCCTTTCTCTGCCTGCAATGCCAGTTCCCAGCCTGGAGACCCCTCCTGTAGGGGGACCTCGCTCCCTTTTTCCACGTCCCCATTCCCGTTCAACGCCTACTCCTTGCCTCTAACACCTTTTCCCTACCCCGTGCCGCGCAAGTTGCCCCTCCAGTGTCAAGCCCCCAACAACCTCCACTATCTCCCACCTGCACGGCCCCTTCTCTTGGTCCCCCCGCCCCTGTGTCCCCAAGTCTGGAGATCCCAGGGCACCCGCAGGGCAGAATCAAGGCCCTGTTCCCCCATCCTAGCCCCTGATGGCCCCAATCCCAAGAGCCCGCGCCTGGTCCAGACCATCCGCCGCAGGGCGGGGGGCTCGTCAGTGCCGAACCAGGCTTCGGCTGTTTAGGCTTGGACCCTCCCTTTGCCAGTTCCGGGCTAGGCGCGCCCCCGTTACCATGGCGACCCCTGTCCGGACCCCAGCAGCCCAGGTCCCACGGCGACTGGATGGCTCCTGTAGTGGCCGTAGTTGGGGCGCCCAGGGCTGGAACGGACTTCCGGCAGAAGGACGCGCCTCTCTCGCGCAAGACCCTCTGGGAGTTGTAGTTTAACGAAGGGGTTTCTCCGACGGGCGGCAAGAGAGGGAAAGTGTCGGTCCCGCCTCCTAGCATGCGTCACGACAGTCGTTTCTTTATCAAAGAAGCCAGATTCTAAGTGCATTCTGGGAGTTGTAGACGAAGCTTTCTCCGAACACACACGCACGCACACGCACACACACACACACGCACACAGCATGCTGGGAATAGTAGTTTTAAGTAAACAGCATTGGGGAATCTAGAAATAAGTCTCTTTCCAGTAGCACTGGGTATTGAACCCAAAGCCTTCACACTGAGCTACATCGTCCCTGGCCCTTTTCATTATTTATTTTTAAATTTTATTTATTTATTTTTGTTTTTTTGAGACAGGGTCTTGCTAATGTGGTCCAGGCTGGCATCAGACTGGAAGAGATCCTCCTGTTTCAGCCTCCCAAGTGCTGAGATTACAGCCCTGCACCACCACGCCCAGCTGTATATGTGTGTGTGTATGTATGTATGTATTTTTGGTACTGGAAATCAAACTCAGGACTTTGCCCTTACCAGGCAGTTAGTTGAGCTATATCCGCTGAGCTATGTCCCCAGCTGTATTTTTTATTTTAGAATATAGTCTTTCTAATTTTCCTGGTGGGAACTCGAACTTGTGATCCTCCTCCCTTAGCCTCCCTCAGCCTCCCAGAGGAAGCGTTACAGACGTGCACCGCCACGCTGGTGTAACTGTCTTCCAATGTTCACCTAGTACTTATTGACGCTGGGAGTGTAGATCAGTGAGTGGTAGAGCATGCGCTTTGTAAGCATGAGGTCCCGAGTTCCAGCAAGCACACGCGCGTGTACGCTCGCGCACACGGTTCCCTGTGGGAGATAGACACCATGAAAGAGCATGAATTAGGTAGTCAAACTCTGGGTGTGGTGATCCCCGCTTGAAATCCCACCACTCGAGAGGGTGAGGCAAGAGGATCACGAGTTCTGAACCAGCTTAGGCTATATGATGGGTTTAAGACCAGTATGGACTACATAGCAAAAAACGCGTCAAAAGGGCTGGAGATTTAGCTCAGCGGCATAAGCGCCTGAGCTTACTGCAAGCACTCTTACTGCAAGCAGGCAGTCGTGAGTTCGATCCCTGGTACCGATAAAAAGGGAAAAGACAAAAAAAAGAAGCAATTAAAAAAAAAAGTGTCAAAAAACCCAACACAATATTTTTGCACACATCTGGCCCCTGTGGGTCTTACCCATGTGGCTTTGCACCAGTGGCTTTACCTCTTAACTTAATCTTCAGCTGTGAAATAGAAGGGATCAAAGGGTCACCTCCCTAGGGCAGTTTTCAAGAATGCCCAAGTTCTCAAAGTACCTGGCACTGCCAGCCCTAGCTGCTTGGGGACAAACCCCTCCTTAAATCGTGTGCACGGCCACAGGTAGAAAAGACAGATCCCAGCACTTTCACTGTACTATGAACCCAAGAAACTTGTCTCTTTTGTGACGTCTTTTAAAACATGCTCAATGGAGAGAGAAATTGGAAAATGACCAGATACACCTCCTCTGAGAAAAGTTAATCAGCCCATGTGCATCACATAACAAAAACAAGCCTAGGCGCTGGGGAAAGGAAAGGAGGTGCCGGTGACACCTGTGTGTCACACCCAGTGACATCTCCTGGTGGTGCTGGGAGATGGAGCATAGGCTTCATGCCTATTAGGCAGGTGCCCTACATTCCCCAGCCACTGTGTTTTTCTCTCTTTAGTTTTTACTTAGAAAATGACTATATCTACTGTCTTGGTCACTTTTTTCTTTGTCATTGTTTCAAAATACCCAACACCCACTTTTTGAGACAGGGTCTCACTATGCAGCTCAGGCTGGCCTTGAGCTCACTTTGTAGCTCTGGCTGGTTTCAAACTCACAACACTCTTCCTGCCTCAGCCTCCCAAGCGCAGAGATTACAGGCATACACCACTACACCCGGCTCCAACATATACAATTTAAGGAGGAAGAAGTTTATTTTGGATCATGTTTCAATAGTCTCAGTGCATGCAAAGGAAACAAGATAATCCAATAAAGGGGCCAGAGATTTAGCTCAGTGGCACAAGCACCTGGCAAGTGTGAGGTCATGAGTTCAATCCCAGTTCAAAAAAAAAAAAAAAAGGCCAAATAAAGCTTCATTATGAAAATTACAAATGTTTGGGGCTGGGGATTTAGCTCAGTGGCATAAACGCCTGCCTTGTAAGTGCGTGGTTGTGAGTTCGATCCCTAGTACCGATAAGAAAAAAAAAAAGAAAGTTACAAATGTTAGTCATTGGAAAGAAGCTAAGTAGTAGAGTGCTTGCCCAGCATGCATGAGGTCCTGGGTGAGACTGTCAGTGCCAACACACGCGCATGCGTGCACACACTAATGTGCATATCAAAGGGCACTATCAAGAGACTGAACAGACAACCCACAAAACGGAAGAAAATATTTGCCAAGCACATATCTCTTATAATATGGCTGGGAATGTAGCTCAGGGGCACAAGTACCTACCTGGTAAGCGCAAGGTCCTGCGTTTGATTCCCAGTACCAGAATAAATAAATAAGTAAAAATTTTTTTTAAAAAAACCCACTACCATTTAGAATAAAGAACTCCTACAACTCAACAACAACAGCAAAATATTCCAGGCATGGTGACATATGAATGTAGTTCCAGCCCTCAGGAGGCTGAGGCAAGAGGATGGCAGAGAGTTTGAGGCTGGCCCTTCAGCTACATAGAGAGTTTAAGGTCAGCCTGAACTACATAGTGAGACCCTGTTTCAAACAACAACAGAATAAAAATCAGTCATCAGTCAGTCAATCGATCAGTCCTTGGCTTTGTGGCAGTCACATTGGAAGAGCTTCCTAAAACCGGGACTACTCACTAGTGCAGGGCAGAAAAGATTGGACCCCATTCATGCCAGACCTCGGTGTCGGGTTTTTTTTTTTTTTTTTTTGTTTGTTTGTTTGTTTGTTTTAGCTTTAGCTGGTCCTGCCTGACATCTCCAGCAGATGGAGCCAGTGTACACGGAGAATGGAGTTACCAGAAACTGGAGAAAAAGATGGGTTGAAATTAGAAGCACCAATTGGTGGATTCGTGTGGTCTTTTAAAAATTTATTTTTCTTTTTTTGAGACAGGATCTCACTGTGTAGTTCGGGCTGGTCTTCAACTCACGATCTAACCCAAGCTCTCCTCAACTTCGCAGTGATTCTCCTGTTTACTACTTATGACCTGGCAGAAAAGACCTGGCATTTGGCTTTCTCTGTCTGGAGAAATAAGATGAATAATTTTCTCCATAAACTTTTGGTTTTGATCTTGGCATCTGCTGTAAATGCTTGACAATGTTAAAGTCACAAAATGATGCATGTATCATTGTACTCTGAATCTCATAGTTACTTATTTTATCATTGCAAATGATATCACATAAGCAATGATATCCATACACCTAATCACTGGAAAGGGAACTCAAATCTAGAGTCTGTGAAACAAAGCAAAGCAGTGCAAAGAACCTTTTTTTTTTTTTTTTTTATCTTTACGTGGAAGATGGCCTTTGCACTGAGCTACATCCCCAGCCCTTTCTTGATATAGGGCTTCACTAAATTATCCAGGGTGGGCTTAAATTTGGGACCTTCCTGCCTCAGCCTCCCAGAGCTCTGGGATTGCAGGTGTGCACCACCACATCTGGCTGCTTTTCCTTTACTGACGCTGTGAATACTTCATGCCCAAGGGGAATCATCATATACCAAAGACAGCAGTTGGCTTGCTGAGCTTTTGCTGTTTTTCTTCCTGCTATCCGCTTAATAGAAATGTTTGTGTGGGGTGGGACAGATTTTTCAGTCCACGCACACAGTACAATGGAGTGATGTGTTGAGGAGGTGGAGTTGGCCTCGAAGCAGAGAGGGCGAGGGGTACGCTGGTCTGTAGCAACAGTTTCTACAGCCAGCCCATGGGGCCAGGAGCCTTGTGCTCAGACAACTATTGGCAATGACAAAGTGACTATTGAGGTCATCACAGTATTAATTTAATGCTAATACTCTGTGATTTGTCTTTTCTGTTTGAGACCAGGCCTCACTGTATAGCCCAGGCTGGCCTTGAACTCATGGTGATCCTCCTGCCTCAGTTTCCCAAATGCTGGGATTACAGGTGTCTACCATTATGCCCGATTAGGGAATGCTAATATTTTGAGTATTTTATTTTATTTTTGGCTGCTTGGGTAACTTTAGCTCTTAGCCAAGCACATTCAAACATGTGGTTTTTGTTTTTGTTTTCCTTTTCTAGGTACAGCTTAAAATATTTGGACACAAGATATGTGTTTTTCATGCAGCCTTGATATTCAGAGTGTATTGTAATATATGCTTTTTTTTTTTATCAGTACCAGGGATCGAACTCACAACTGCCTGCTTGCAAGGCAGACGCTTATGCCGCTGAGCTAAATCCCCAGCCCCAATATATGCTTATATGCTTTTTGTTTGTTTATTTTGAGACAGTTTTTGTTTGTTTGTCTTGAGACAGTGTCTCATTATATAGTTCAGGCTGACTTTGAACTCATATGTAGCCCAGCCTGACCTTGAACTTGCAGCGATCCTCCTGCCTCAGCCTTCCAAATGCTGGCATTACAAGTGTGCACCATTAAACCCAGTTCAATATACACATTTTTTCAAAATTATTTTTTTCGGGGCTGGGGATTTAGCTCAGCGGCATAAGCGCCTGCCTTGCAAGCGTGTGGTCATGAGTTCAATCCCTGGTGCCAGTAAAAATACAAAAAATATATATATTTTTTTCAATATACACATTTTTGTGATACTTCAAAGGTTAAGATTATTTTGATAACATTATTTTCATATTTAACTTCAGATTTGGTTATCAGAAGTCTGTTGAGAGGGTAAACTTATAGCATAAAATAATTAACTTGGAATTAATATTTTGCATCAGTTTGGAGAACAAATGGCCAAAGAACTTGAACAGACCTTTCTCAAAAGATCTACAAAATGGGCAATAAGTATATGAAAAGATGCTCAGCATCACTAGTCATTAGGGAAATGTAAAGCAAAACCACAAGGTACCACTACCTGC